TGCGGAAAATAATCATTTTTATGTCCCCATCTCATAAACGCACCACAGGCCTGGGAATGGTTCCATGCCTTCAGCGGTCGAGTGCTCCAGTATCCGCACCGGACATGTTTACTGTTGACCGGCAACATCTTGCTTAGTGACTGGGTTTGGTCTGTTGAAGACGACATGTTGACTCGCAGTAATTTGGGATAATTTCTTTAATTGAGCAAAAGACTTCTCTAAAATGAGGGTGGGTCGGCCAAACACTAGGGGAAAGAGGTCAACATGAAACCTCCCCGGAGCCAGTGTAGTGTTTCTTGGAACTGGGCGTGAATGGAGGGGAGCCGCTGCCAAGCAGCCTCCATGCCCTGGTGTGATAAGAGACTGTTATGAGAATGGGCATAAAACAGGGACCATGCCTTGGTGGAGTAACATGGCACACTTGCAAACACATCTCGAAAAGTGATCTCGGTGATGACATCATTTCAATTAGAGGCATACAAATTCCAATTTGTCCTAATCAAATCACACTGCAACGCTTATATTCTCATTAAAAAATAATTCCTTGTATTGCTCTTATCAATGTGGTGTTTCGACTGGCGGAATTATCAGTGGGCGACTGCTCAGTTTGCCGCCACCCAGACTCTCAGGTAGGCTACTCGGGAAGGCTGTAATCAGTATTAAACAAGCCAATGAAACACTATTAGACAAATATTAAAGCAAGCTTTGCACTCCGTTATTAATTTGCACGATTCACTTTTAAATGCAGCAAATATCTCATTAATTTAATTTTAGGTGCCCACCAGTTTATACTGCTTTTTACAGTCTAGAAGGCAATTCACTATTAACTGGCAATTACATACACACTGATTGTTAATTCTGCCCCTAAGTGCTAGCTGCTTGAAATTGTTCTCTCTCTCTCTAATTTTTGACCTCCTTACAACAGGGGTGAGGCACGCTGGGAATACAAAGGACTAGTATGGAAGCCCGGACACGTCATTTGTGACTCGTTCTTTTAATTCACCGTGCTAATCAACTGAGCTGCCACCGCTTCCCAAGGTAATTGTATCTTTATACGAGCTGGAAGCCGCAGCGCAAGGCCGGGATGCAGGCGGCCGGCCCCCGGCCCCTGCCCACTCCAGGCTGACGAATGGAGGCTGGGCCTGAAAAGCCTGGTGGTTTTCAGAGCACTGTAAACAGATCATCCTGACCTTCGGCAAAGTCGCCCCAGCCCCCGGCTGGTGGGGGGAGTGGGCAGGCTGCGGCGGACGGGGAAGCCCCCTCCTCTGCAGGGCAGGTTCATTATCCCCAGGCCTGGCTGCCCCCCGGGCCTGGCTGCCCCTGGGCTGGCCTCACACGGGGAAGGTTAACTGTGAGGGTGTCCCAGCAGCCTCCGGGACACTGATGGGAAGCAGACACCCAGGGGATGGCGGCCTCCCTCCCTGCGGGGCTGTGTCTGTGCTGGGACTCGCGGTGGGGGTGGGGGAGCTAGGCCCTGAGCGGGGAGCCCAGTCCACAGTGATTATCTCATTGTCCCCATCAACTCCAGGGCCATGCAAATCAGACCGGAGTTTCCAGGTCAGACAGGTTATGACCCACCCTTTCCTCTGCCCCCTGCGAGGGGAGACCAGCTCCCTTACAGCGCGTTTGAAATGTATATTCCTGGTAATGAGCGGGGTGCAGGGGGGTGCAGGGGGGCCGCCCACAGGCCACTGAATAGCAGCATTGACAAGACCAGGCTATGGCCACTTCCTGACAGGGGCAGTCCCCAGGGCCTGGGCAGCCAGGGCCCGAGCTGGGGGTTAAGCAGCCCAGTCCTCCTCTAGGACGCCATGGTCATGGGCTTGGACAAGCTACTTCCCCCAAGCAAGGAAGCTGGCAGAGGCCTGGGGCTGGGGCTGGAGGCTGATGACTATGTGACCCCAACAGAGAGCCCCGCCTGGGCAGGCTGTAGGGTCCCCCACCACCACCACCACAAGTGACACCTGGTTCCTCCCACCAACACACCTGAGCCCTGGAGCCCATTTCTGAACAGGCCTCTCGACAGTTAGGCAGCAGAGGAAGTCAGGCAGAGGGCAGGGCCCTCTTCTCTCAAAAGAAACTGTGCCATACACAACAGCCCTGCCGAACCCCCGCCCCAGAGAGCCCACGCGTGCAAAGGTCCGAATTTAGCAGAAGATCCACGGGCATCCACCCGACGGAAAGCAGAGCCCAAGCCGACAGTGGGTGACTTCAGCATTTTCGTGTCAACAGTCACCTGGGACAGAAGCTGCTGCTCACACCAGGAGCCACATGGCGTGGACATGAGCCACACAGGCCGCTGCCAGCCACGTGTCAACACATGCCCGTGACCGCACGTGCCTGCTCTTTCCGTGAGAAGCTGGGGATGCGGACTGTCTGCAGTCGCCCTGGGGTGGACTCGACTCCCAGCGACCCCGGCATGTCAGAGAACGACTGCAGCCCACAGGGTTTCCAGTGGCTGTGTTTCTGCATAGGTCACTAGGCCTTTCTTCGGGGTGGACTTGAACCTCCACCCTTCTGCTTAGCAGCCGAGCACGCTCACTGTCCACACCACCAGGGAGTCCCCGTGTGCAGCCCTCGCCCGTCTGCCCGTGGGGGCTGGGATGCTGAATGGGTTTCAGCGGAGCTTCCACACTAAGGCAGACGGGACCAAGGCCTGGCAGCTGGCTTCTGACAACCAGCCACAGTCTGAGCCCAGACCCCATAGGTGGCTGCCACGTGTTGGACCCTTGGTACAGGTTCTCTCACGTCCTCCCAGAACCCCCTCAAGACAGGGCAAGGGAAGAAGCTGAGGCCAGGGTCAGGAGGCACCAGGCCCAGATCACACATCCACCCAAGCAGGCCTGAGAGGGCCCTGACCCCAGGCCAGGGTCCCCCCAGCCACCATGCTGCCTCCGCTGCTGGAGAACATGGGCCTGAAGCCTGAACCACATCCGCCCCACGGCACCCAGCACACCAACAGGGAAGGTCCTTCCGGGCCTGGCAAGGCTGCCGTCTCTCCAGGGAAATGGAACCTGTGACAAAGACGCTGGGAGAGCCCATGCTGGGTCCAAGGGTGCCTGCAGGCCTCTAACATCTCCCCGCTGTCTGGGACCCACGGCGATGGTACCCTCACACAGAGCAAAAGCCCTTGTCTGTCGACACACATTAACCCAAAACACCAATTAGCCAATGAGAACTTTACAGACACTGACAGAGTGGGCTAAATAAACCTGAAACGCATTGTCCTCGAGTTGATTCTGACTCTCAACAGCCTACAGGACAGAGGAGAAGGGCCCCGTAGGGTTTCCAAGGCTGTAAATCTTTACAGAAGCAGACTGACTCATCTTTCTCCCTCAGAGTGGCTGGTAGGTTCAAATCATCAACCTTTTGGTTAGCAGTTGAGTGCTTTACCACAGTGCCACCAGGGCTCCTACTAACCTCTTATGTGTGTGAACGTTTTCATAACCCTGTTGAGATGTGTCTTCATTTTCTTATGTACTAGGCCCTCAGAAAATGGAAGGTCAGGCCTCTCAACCTCTGCTCTTAACAAGGCCATGAGCACCCTGACCCAAAGTGGGGTGGGCTGGGGGTTCCCATCAGCTCTCTGCTTTGCCTGTTTCCCACCTGATCATCCGGCAGGTCTGGCTCCTGGGAGCATGTGCTGATCCCATGGAGAACACAGGCCGCTGGGGTAGCCTGGACCCTGCAGATGGGGCGGGGTTTTAGGCCCAAAAGGCAATGGCTCCCCACTGATGTCCTACTCCCTCCACCCATAAAGAAGCCAAGGTGCTTCTGGGGGCCGAGCTCAGAGCAGCCTGGATGTCTCGGAGCAGTGGCCTGGCTTCCCATGAGGACCCGTCTAGGCATACACTGGGGTAACGCCAGGCCTGCTGGGAAGTGAGTGGCATTTCACATTCAGCACTCATCCATCCCTGCTAGAACAGGGTGTGATGAGCAATCTGCTGCTTCCCGGACTCCCACAGTGGAAGGGACCCCAAAGAGCCACGTGTCACCCCTCACTGAGCAGAAGGAAGGACCCCACCCAAGGAGAGACCAGATATGCTGGGCTGTCCTCTCAGCTGGTGCAGAGCAGGGGCGGAGCCGCTGGCTGCAGCCCGGGTCCAGCGCACACCTGGTGGCCACCCCAGGACCGCAGGCCACAGTTGTCACACCAGCATCAAACCATACACACAAGAACTCCCTTTCGACCTTTCAACCTCAGGGCACTTTCATCGTTAACGTTTATCTCTCAAACATGGCAGTATTCAGAGATGGCTAAGACTGGACGTCCAGATACAAACACAACCACAGCCTTGGTTTATTTACTGAGTTCCTCAGTAGCTGCCCCAGACAAGGAGTGGTAATTCAGGCCTCCTGTGGGCACAGCATGGCATGGAGCACCTCTCAGGTAGCACATGGCTACTTCCCAGGCATCCCTTCCTGGTGCCGTGAGTCTGGAAACAGTACCGACCGAGGCCCGAGACAGCGGTAAGAGGACAGAGCCCCCAGAGCCTGGGTGTTCTGTGAGACGCAGGGCTGTGTGATAGTTTACACCCTGGGCTTGGTGCAAGAGACTTGGCTTTCAACGGGCCTCTGTTGACTCAAGTGTGCCCTTGGGCACCTGACTGGCTTTGCTGGATCTCAGTTTCTGCAAGTGGACCACTGTCACCTTGTGGGGTTACCACAAGGGTGAGAGATGGCACACGCAGGCTCCCTGCCCTGCACACACACACACACCCCCGCACGCCCTGTGAGCCAGCTGAGGTCAGCAGACAGCAAAGGATGTGCCCGTGATGGCACACTGGTGGGGGGGCTGCATCTGTCCATGTGTCACGTGGTCTTGGGCCAGGACCCAGAGACTGTGTGTGCAGCCAGACCCAAGCACAGGCCACAGGCACTGATCCCTCCTCCCCAGGGAAGCCCGCACCCCCCAGCAGGGCCCGAGGGGCCGAGGAGCGCATCTTGGGGAGGAGGGCCCAGATGACCACCCCGTCACCGAGTGGGAAGCGCAGACTCACCGGTGTAGACGAACCGTCCAGGGGCTCCTTTGCAGAACTGTTTGGATTTGTAGGAAAGGGTGACCTCGACAACTCCAGGGATGTGCCGCGGGGGGGTCTGCACGCGGATGGCATGCGGCGTGATCAGCTACAAAAACCACACAGTGGACGGGCACTCAGTGGCACTGGCTGTGCGAGGCGTACACTTGCCAGTTGGATATAATTAGCAAAATGAGCACAAATTGGACCATCGTCTCGGAATTCCACCTCCGAGCTGTCACCCGGAGACTCAGGATCCACAGTGCTCTTTAAGAAAAGTATCTGCAAATGATCCTGGGTTTTCGTTTGCAGGAAAAGCCACAGGGTATCACTCATATGAAAATTGCCACCATATGTCTCCATAAACCTGCTTCTAGTCATCCCAGCACTAATTGCTGGAGTGGACAGAAGGACCTCCTACGGCACATTTTAAACCCAAGGACGGGGGTGGCGTCTGGCACCCACCCACTGCAGGAGCCCCTGCCACCCACCGCCCACCTGGCAAAAGGGGATTCTGCAATAGGTAGGCGGGGGGGCCTCATGCCGGCACACTGCCAATGCCGTGTCCAAGCCGTTCAGGACCCAAGAGACACCTGTACGCTCCAGCACCGTGGGCTTACCTCGCTCCACACCAACATCGTTCCGAACACGACTTGCAGGCCGTCAAAGAAGTTGTCTCCAATTATGATGACAGTGGCTCCCCCTGTTGTCCAGCCTTCACTGGGGCTGATGGCTTTGATGCACGGAGTGGCTGCTCACACAAGACAGAGAGGACAGGCCTCAGTGCCCACCCACCGACCCAGGCCACCATGCCCACCACAGGTGCGCCGGGTGCAGCGCCATGACACATTTAACCCAAACTATTAAATCTTTGATCGAGCAAAGGCCAGCTGTGGAATACGACTGAACAAGAAAAAACAACAGCTCATCTAGCAAACGCCGTGTCAGGGCAGATATGACGACCACAAATGATGAGGTGTCACGTGTGTGTGGCACGTCGATTTATCTGCTTTGCTGCACGATCTAAGCAGAGTCAATCAAAAGGCTGTTGGGGGGATGCTGGAGCAAACGTCTCACACTCCCATTCCTCATAGCAGCTAATTGGTCGGGCTTTTTCAGCCACGAACTTCGCCTTTTGGCTCCAAACTTCATTTGCTCTGTCACTCCACAATTACGACTCTTCGTTTTTCATCAGGAAGGGAAAAAGCCAAGTGCCCAATATTAATACTTTCATCAGAGGTACACATTTTGCATCTAATACTGTTCGTTGACAGTGATTCCTGCACTGCCGGCCTGAACCCCTTTGTCTCCCATGTTTGCGTGAGTTATTACAACGGCGTGGCTGCAGCGGGTGGGGGACAGAGAGACAGACAGCAGAGGGGGGCAGGGCGGGACCAGGGCCCGGAGACCGACGCCCAGGGAGGCCAACGCAGCCCAGCAGGTGCTGTGAGCTGCAGCGGAGGCCGGCCGGCCAGGGCTGAGGCCTCATGGAGGCCGCCTTTGTTCTTGGCTTTGATCGGCTCTTCTTCTACATGATGCTGGCAGACCTTTCCTGCAGCCTTTGATGGTCTTTTGTAGGCGGACTCCCATGCAAAGAACAACTCCAAGACGTCTGCTTGCTTGTTTCTGCTCTCTGCTCTGCCAGGGGTGTGTCTGCCCTGCCGGTTGCTGTCCACAGGCCCCTCAGGGCCATGCTGTCGTCAGGGTGAACCACAAAGAAGGCAGGCTACCGGGTAGGCCTGGGTCATGGATGGCTACATGGCCCCTCACATTGCTAACGTTGCTTGACTGCAACTTTACTCCAAAGTGTAGGAGGCCCCTGGACCCATACCAAGCCCTGGGATAGCCCAGGGTCCGGGGAAGATATACTGGGTGGCAGTCACCCCTTTTTCCTCCTGGCTTCATGGGAGGGGGGGGGATGAGTCACAGAGCAAGGGCCTTGGCCTAGCGACCCATGCCCGGGTGGCATTCATTCTCTCGAGTTTGGCGTGAGCATTTGTCCAGAAAATAGTCACTAAGCTTGGTAAGGAGAAGCAGCTCAACCAAGCGTCCATGCTCCCCGCACGGCTGTCTACTGGCTCTGCTCCGTACAGGACCACTCCAAAGGGCACCAGGAACCTGCAGGGGGCTGAGCCTCTTCCTGGCCACCCATGCAGCTGGGCATCAGACAGATCTTTCCGGACTCTGGGTCTGACCTGGTGGCAAGTCTTCAAATGAGGAGTTCTCCAGAAGCCCAGGTGCCGTGGCTTCCCTGACGGGCCAGGGGCAGCGCTGCCGACACTGCCGAGTTCATCGCCGTTAGCTATTGTTGTTTAGCGCAGTGCAGACACGCCACCGGCCTTTGTTTGCTTTCATGTTGGGCGCGTGGGGGTTATATTTGCTCGTTGCACGTGCGTCTCCCTCCGCAGCAGAGGCACACACACTGGGAACCTGCCCTTAACTAGCGCTGTTGACTCCATGCTAATAAGTTCAGACAAATTTTCATTTCTGAGGCTTCCGTGTGACATTTGCTTTTCTTAATTGCATGGAGAACATTTGAGAAGGATCAGCTCTCTAAAGACTGACAAGCCACCTCCAAGGGGGTGACCTTCATCAGCACAGCCAATTATGGCAAATAATTCACCAAAAAAAAAAAAAAAAAAATTACAGTAAACAAATTTACTTTGGAGGTGAGAAAAGGAAAAAAAAAAAAAAAAAACTAGGATCCACTGCACGCACAAGAGACTGTTCTCTGGCAGCTGTGGCCCGGCAGAGACCACGCACGTCGCCTCAGAATCTGTAGCGTTTTTCAGAGGAAAGATGGCACGGGGCACCTGGCCTCTACTCGACCAACAGCCATCTTCCCCTGCCTGGATCTGCATACATTTCAATGCACAGATAGAGAGGGAACGTGTGTTCAGTGGGCACCCTAGCAAAATGAATTATACACACAGCATCACAGCACAGATATACGTGCGCCGTACGCTCCAGCAGACGAGGGAGCCGGGAAGATGGCAGAGGGCTCGCAGCAGCACAGGGACAGGGGCCTCCTGCTGCCTCCCAGCTCCTCTCGCCGGCCCCACGGCAGGACGCAGCCCTAAAGACAGAGCGTGAGCTGCAGGGGGCCCAGCGCCACATGCTCGAAGGACGAGGTGTGGCGTGTTTCCCCAGCACACACTGGGATGCCCTGTGTTCAGCTCGAAGGGATGTCCCCATCTCTCGCCCTCCTGTGGGCAGAGGCCCCCACTAATGCCAGCTTCCTGGTCCATGTCCTCAATGCCTTGCTCAGTTACCCAGATGGACTGGGGTGGGTCTCAGGCCAGGGGCCCCAGCCACAGGGAGTGAGAATTTCCAAAGGCGGGGGGGATGCAAGGGGAAGCCTGTGTGTTGACCCTAGCGCACGGCTGTCATTCTTTGGGGGTTCCTCTCCCATGCCCAGGCTCCCATTAGCAGACAGCTTCCCGTTAATCAGCACGCTCTCGGGAGTCAAACCCCTGCGCTTGTCACCTTGCCTGCATTCGGAATATTGAGGCACTCAAACAGGCCTAATCTTGCCTCATGAAGACTTCTTTGTTCTGCCTGCTAAAATGTCTTGTAATTGTGCTTGGGATGTCCAGATGGCTGGCTGATACTCCAGCTGATAGGATTATACCTTTTACCTCTCCTAAGGCCATCTGTTCCTTTAACTCGCTGAAGCCCCGCAGCCTGGATGCACTTGTCCTTATTGCATAAGCCTAACCGCATTACGGTACTTGGCATGCAAATCGCTCCTGTGCTGCAGGCCGGGCGGCGGGCAGGGTTTAAACGGGGTTGGAGTTGTTGGCCAGGGGGAGAGTGACAAGGAAAAAATTAAAACAGGAGTTCTACGGGGCTGTGCTGGAAGCTAGACGCCTTGTTTTCCCCTCTCTGTGTTCAATACTGTAAATAATTTGCCTTGCTTTTTGTGAGCTCAAAGGACTTGGTGGCAGGCGTCCACAGCAGCAGCAGGGGGAATTAGTTTACTTGGAAACCGTGAGTGAGTGTGTACACACGGCTCTGCATAGCTGATGATTGGATAATGAGACGTTAGCCGGGAGGGGCCCCGCACACACACGGATCTGCGGTCTGTGGGGGTGTGCTCCTGGGAGAGAGAGGGGCTGACTCAAAGCATACACCCACCCCCACAGCCCACTCCATCGGGGCAGGGGAGGTACCTGCACCAGGAGCTCTGTGGCTAGGCCTCAGAAGGAACCTCCTAAGTGGCCACTCTTCAGAAGGACCAGAGCCTGCAGAGCTAACCACACCCTTGAAGAGGGAACACTGCCTTGTTTGTTTCTTCTGGTCGGGCATTTGAGAATGGCATTAATTACAAAAAGCTACCACTGGTGAGGGACTTCCTTTCCTGAAGGGCTGCATATGCCAGTTCTCAAGCCACCTCTTTGCATAGGAATTGCTTGTTTGAAAGATGAGTCACTTTCTGGGGTGGAACAAGACGTTTCCATCTTCTTTAAGAGAAACGGTATTTAAATAATTGGTTTAAATGTTGATACGATATTGAAACAAACAAGAAAAGCATCCTGAGCAAGATTGCTTCTGCACAAAGCTTTGGATGAGTTGGGCTTTACCTCCAAGGTGCCCACGCGCGGCCTTTATCTTTCTAAATCGGCATGTTCTGCTTACAGTCAAATCTTTTTCATGCTACTTATAAAAATAAATACTTGTACTTTACTCTCATCATGATAGCTCATTAGGGGAGGCCGGCTGTGGACCCAGACTCCAGCCCAGCACCACAGGGCTGAAGAGGCCTCCTTGAGCCTATTGAGTTGCAAGCACTTGCTCCCTGGGGATACGGAGAACTGAGGCCGGGGATCCAACCTTCTTAATTGTGAGCCTCATTAGTGATGGTTGCTAAGCAAAACACACACCTACCTTCAGTGCACGGGAAGGACATAAACAATACGTCATGGAGTCTAATGGCCCTGGCGCACAGGGCGACCCTTCATCATTATATTTTTGTTCCCTTATACCTCAGTCATTAATGCAGAAAAACAAATTAGTTTATTTTGTGGCCGCAGCAGATTCCTAAGTTGTCTTCCCGCTCTTCGGCCTGAATCGAGGCTCACTCAGGTAATGTGCACAGGCTTTGCTCACTTTCCCATTGGCCTCAAGTGTGGCTCTGTCTGAAAACTGTTTCACTCTATGGCCTATTTGCTCTAAAGGAGTTAATCACACTGTTTTGTTCACAGTTCATTTTTCAAAAAAAAAAAAAAAAAAAGTCACGTTGATTTCTCAATGACGCATAGCGTTCAGAAGCTCATGGTTCTTGTAAAATGTGTGATGGGCAGAGACAAGGGGTCTGATTTTGAAGGGGTACCTGGCACAGAGTGTGGGGTGAGGGGCTGGGTAAACACCCCCCAGCATCTGAGTTTTTCTGAATTCTGACTTGATGTCCAAAGATGCTTTGCCCTATCATACACTCTTACCAAAATTCTTCTTTTCACAAGCAAAACAAAAGTCAACCACTGGGAAGCATTTGGTTAAGCAAATATTTTTTTACATATTGTTTTATTTTTTAGTCCCACTATCAGCCATCCCCCTTCACATACTCACACAACAGACACATATTTACACACATACACATACGTACATACATATACGCACATACATACACATATATTAAGGAAACAAACAACTGCCAAAGAGTTGACTGTGCCTCATGTCAATCCCATGTGTGTCAGAGTTGACCTGTGTTCTGCAGAATTCACACACATGTATATGTATATATGCACATAGACACACATATATCGTGTGTATCAGAGCTGATCTGTGCTCCACAGAATTCACACACACGTATATGTACATATACGCACATATATACGCATATATCATGTGTGTCAGAGCTCAACTGTGCTCCACAGAATTCACACACACGGATACATACAATACACACATATCATGTGTGTCAGAGCCGACCTGTGCTCCACAGAATTGACACACATGTATATGCACATACACGTACACACACGTGTGTGTCAGAGTCGACCTGTGCTCCCCAGAATTCATGCACATACACACACATATATCATGTGTGTCAGAGCCTGTGCTCCCCAGAATTTTCAATTGCTGACTTGTAGGGAGTAGACTGCCAGGCCCTTCCTCAAGGTACCTGTGGGTGCACGTGAACCTCAAACCTTTCAGCCAGTGACCGAATGCTTAACCATTGTACCACCCAAGGCTCCCTACACACAGACACACACAGAGACATGCACTCCCATGTATACATGTGCACACACATGTATGCACACTTGCATGTGCACGCATATGCATGCAGGCACATGCATGGAAACATGCATTCATGTGTGTGCACATACACACATATGTACCCATGCACAGAGACATACACATTCACATCTGCGCGCGCGCACACACACACACACACCCCTACACACAGATACGCGTTCACATACACATACAGAACATGCATGGAGACACGCAGGAGCTCTGGTAGCATAGTGCCTAAGGCACTTGACTGCTAACCAGAAGGCTGGCAGTTCAAACCCACCAGCCACTCCTCGGAAGGAAAGTTGGGCAATCTACTTCTATGGTGCTACTGCCTCGGCAACCCAAGGAGGGGTCGCTGTGAGTCAGGGCCGACTCAATGGCACATAACAAAAACAACAATAGAGACACACATACTCACATGTGTGCACACACACCCACATATGCATACAAATACACATGTGTACATGCACAGATGCACACATACACTGATTCACATACAATACAGACAGTCACATGTATGTATGTGTATACACATACACAAACATACACTAATTCCCATACAATACACATAGATTCACACACACACATGTATACATCCATATACACATACACTGATTCACATGCAATACACATAGCCTCACACATTCACACACATGTACACATGCACATAAACATATTTTTTAAAAACCCTGTTGCCACTGAGTCAGTCCCAACTCCTAGAAGCCTCCCGTGTGTCAGAGGAGCACTGTGCACCCCAAGGCCTCAGGGGCTGCTTCTGTGGAAGGAGGTCACCAGGCCTGCCTTCTCAGGAGCCTCTGGGTGGACTCAACCCTCAGCCTTTCAGTGAGTAGCCACCTGCTTAACTGGTTGTGCCACCAAAACACACATATACACAAATAGTACACATACATACACATGCATGCACGCACACGAGCACACATGTGCACACATACCGACATATGTGTGTGTGTGTGTGCACGTGTGTGGTTACAGGTATGCACATGCACGCACACATGTTCAGGCACATGTGTGTACACATACACATGCCCACACACACACACACACTTGCACACACTTCATCCTGATATAGGCAACGCCCTCCCTGTCCCTTCTCAACTGCCTGGACCAGGTGCCTCGTCCACTAAAACGTGCACAAAGGAAACTGGGAATAAACTTTCCGATGGGGACGTACAACAAGCCAGAAATAAAACCAACTGGATTAAAATGGCAAGAAGAGCTGTGAAACAACGTGCAGTTCACAAACAAACCAGCAAGAAAAGTGGAGGCCATGGCGGGGAGGTGAGTTGAGAGGCGAGTTAGCCCGCAAAGGGCCGGGGGGAGGGAAAAGCCTGCTCACTACCGGGCCCAGAGGTCCGAGCCAGGGGCGGCAGGGCCCTGCAGAGAGTCACGCAACATGAACCAACAGAAAGCATGGCACAAAGAAAAGGAAGCATGGCAAATCATATCAAAAAGCAAACATGTAACATGTGCCTACCATTCTCCAGATAAGAGGAGGCCGTACCTTCTGACGGGTCCAGGCGGCGGGCCCGCCGCCCGTGTTTGGAGTTGTTGTGTACAAACATGTTGTCGGACACAGCCAGCACGTGGCCGTCCACGTTGACCGTTGTGGACACAACCACCTGTGAAGATGAAGCGGATTTGAAACGCACTTGGCCAAGGTTAGCCCAGCAGCCCTCCAGACGGAAGAAAAGCAGGCTGAGTATCATCCTGGCGCGAGAGGGAGGCCCGTTTGTTCCTGGCAAGTCGCCCTGGACAGAGTCACCCTCCCGGCCTTTCTGGCGAATGGCCGTGGGGGAGTTTGAGTTTTGTTTTGTTTTGACTCAAGATTGCTTTTCTTCAGAACCCGCTTACACTAATTACAGTTTACTCTCCTGTTATGCTAACAAGTGAATTCAATTCAGGGAAGCGTTCTTCTGGCCGTTAGCTTCAGAAACCCCCTCTAGCCACTCATTCTACGGCAGCTGTTTTGATTGATCTGTTCACATATTGATTAGATAGTTTATCTAATTAAAATCCGCCCACTTGAGACCGTCCCCCATGGAGAGCAGCGAGGATACATAGTTGCCAAAAAGCCTTCATAAATCTGAGGCCCTTGGCTCCCCGCGTCCCACCAGCAAAGGATCCCAGGGTCAATTTGACAGTTACATCTAATGTCTGGTAATGAACTTGTTTGCATGTGAAAAGGCTACATTGAGTATGAATAGTGAGTGTTTTCAATCCAGAAAGAGTAGCCTTGCTCATGTTCACTGCCATGGCCAGCCCTGTGGTGCCTGGTGTGCCAATGGAATTTCCTCTTTCTTCTGCAGTGAAAGGCCCCCATTCTTGCACCCAGGTTCAGAGCACAGCCAGAGACACAATGATGGACAGGTCCTTCTTGAACCTCAGCTGCTTGGTGTGGAGGTGGAAAAGGGACGTACACCCTCAGGGACAGCCCCACTGACCCAGACATCCTCCCAGTAAGCTTGCAACCTGCCTCCCAGACATGGCACCCTGAACAGGCCCAGGACATGGGACGTGACCGCCCACTTGGAGTTTCTCTGTAACGGAGGTGGATCCGTGTGGGGTCCAGAATGGCTAGAAAGCCAAGCTGGGTGTTCAGAGTTAATTTGGGCCCCAGAGAAGCACTGGTGGTCTTCAAGTGCAGACTTTGGCTGAAGGAAGCCTGCTTTTTGCCACGGCTGGGGCAGCCTGACTCAGTCAGGCGTCCAGGAGAGTGAGGGTCAGCGCCACTCTAGTAACCCAAAACCCTACAGAGAGATGTGCCTCTTCAGCAGGTGAGGGGGGAGCCAGAAAGTGTTCCCGGCCAACGTCCACCCACCAAGCTCGGTCCAGACTGTCCACACAGACCTTACAGAATCAGCAATGGAAAGCTGAAGCTACGGACTCATACATGAACACACTCGTGAGTAATGATTGTTACGAAGGTGGCCCAGCAAAGGCAGTACCCACAATGCCCCACAGTCCCTTCATCAGGCAGCTTCCTCAGGGTCCCGTCCCCTTTGGCTCCTGCCGAGAATGCTGAGGCTTCCACAGCCTCAGGCCCATGGAAGCTCGTAACGGTCCAAGTGCTGCCACGAGGGTCATCTTCTTGTTTTGCTGCTGACTGCAAAGTGGCCTATGGCATTGTCCTTGGAGCCCTGGAGGGAAAGAGGTTCTGCCACCAGTTTTAGTGCCATCAGCAGCCCAGGAAAAGAGGCATGGTGGCACAGTGGTTAAAGCACCCATCTGCCAACTGAAGAGTTAGTGCTTTGAACCCACCAGCTGCTCCGTAGATGGAAGATGTGCCAGTCAGCTTCTGTAAAGATGACAGTCTTGGAAACCCAATGCTGCAGTTCCACTCTGTCCTCTAGGGGCACTATGGTTCAGAATCGACTCCACAGCAGTGGGTGTGGTTTGGGCTTTGCTTCCATGAAGACTGACAGCCTTGGAGACCCTGTGGGGCAGTTCCACTCTGTCCTCTAGGGGCGCTGTGAGTCAGAATCGACTCCACGGCAGTGGGTGTGGTTTGGGCTTTGCTTCCATGAAGACTGACAGCCTTGGAGACCCTGTGGGGCAGTGCCACTTGTCAGGGTCACTATGAGTTGGAGTCAGTGTGACAGCACCCCCGTGGATGGTGCAGGAGTCCCTGGTGGTCACTCAGTTAACATGCTCAGCTGCCAATCAGAAGGGTGCAGGCTCGAGTCCACCCAGAGCTGTCTTTGAAGAAAGGTCTGGCAAAATCTACTGAAAAATCGAGCCCCGCTGATGATCCACGTGGGGGCGCCACGAGGGGGCCAACCCAACAAGGGTGGCTGGAGCAGTCGAGCGGCCTCGGCCCGTGCGTCAGGGACTGTCCTGCTCCCCAGACATCCGCCCAGCAGTCTGTGTGCCAGGTCTCGTCCTGGGTGCTGACGGAGCTCTGTGCACTTACAATGCATGCAGCTAGTGCTGGGGCACCAGCCTGGTCCTTTCTAAGTATCCTGGACCATGCATGGTATGTTAAAGAAGAAAAAGTCAGGATTATTCAATTTAAACAAAAAAGACAGGGAGCGAGCCCATCTTTGCTCTGTTAGTCTATATGTAGGCCCGTCACCAAGGAGAATGGTGGTGTTTAGCAGAAGTGCGCCCGCTGCGTCTGTCTCTTGGCCTAGGCCAGCCCTGTAATTCCCTTGAGGAAACGCGTGGAAAACAATGGGTGAACCCTGACATGCTGCTAAGTCCAGTTAAACCTTCCCCAAGGCAAGGAGATCAGCTAAAGAGACTGGAGGAAGTCCTTCTGGTAACAACAGGCTCCATGGTCGACCCCAAGATCAGATGTGATGAGGCTTCATTCCATCTTGAGCAAGACAAAGAGGACACAGCCACTCAGTCTGGGTGTGACCTTGCGCTCTGCTCAGATGGATCAACATCGCCAAGACCTTGAGAAGCCAAGATGTGTGAAAAATGGTGGTGAGGCCGAGTGGCAGAAACATGGTCCCCAGCTACAGGGCATCACCATCGGCAGCCCAGAGGCCCCAGCTCCTCAGCGTGCTCGTGGGTCAGCGAGATCCATGTGTCACGCTCACTAAAGGGCTCTGTTGTTGTTAGGTGTTGTCAAGTCGACCCCCGGCCGTGGCAACCCAAGCATAAGAGGATGCAACACTGCCCGTTCTGCTCCGGGGCTACCCCCATCATCACTGGCAGGGCTCACATTATCACCCACAGGGTTTTCGTTGCCTCATGTTTGGCAGTAGACCCCCAGGCCTCTGTCTCGTCTGTCTCAGTCTGGACGAGTCACTAAAACCTGTGAGCCTCATAGCACTATGCACACCTCCACTGATAGATGGGTACTGGCTAGACTTGAAGTGCAGTGGCTGGGGATCCAGCCTCCCACACGGAAGAAGAGAACTCTACCACTGAGCCACAGAAGACTGAAGACCGAAGTCTCACCTAAAGTCCTGAAAAACACTTCCAACTAGTTTGATGGGAAAATGCTCTGAGTCTCGAGTCAGAACCCCTTGGTAGCCCATCCCACTGAGAGTCCTTGACTGCTCAGCACTGAGCCCCCACTGGGACAGACAGATTCTCCCACAGTCGGTGGGCTCTCCTGTGCCAGCCCAGAATATTCTTACAATTAAAATTAGTAAAATCCTCCATCACGTATATGCTGTACCCACTGTCCAGGAGTAACCTCCTCATCACAGAGAAAGCCAAGACAACAGAAGGCTAACTGACCTTATCCCTGAACCAACGAGCTGCCCACCTCTCTGCTCGAGGTGGAATTCTCTGAGGCAGAGACACAGGTAAGCTGGGTCCAGGAACACAGTCCAGCAATTGGGCCTGGAAAGAAGTTAGCAAGTCTCCTTCCAGCTTCAGTGGACGGGAGCTTAGCTAGGAAAGCCCTCTGGAGTCTGTACCAAGGTCCCTATAAAGTAGGGACAGGTCCCTGCATGAGAAGGCCTCCAAGAATACCCAACAGGCTGCAATGCAGGCCTCCTCCCACTAAAAGGCATACACCAATCCCTTTGAGGCCAACGGCATTCTCAACTTCTGGGTCCAGATTCTGACCCACCAACCATGAGTGGTGAGGAGCAGCTGAGGAGACATGGGCTGACAATAGGAGGGCTGTATTTGAGAAACATTTTACTGAAGTCATTCTGAAGCCCACCCATCAGACCCACCATGTCTGAACGTCAGAGGGCAGGCTGCTTCGTCTGTGGCCACGTTAACTCTCCTCCCAAGATCCTCAGCAGCCTGGTCAGCGGCCTGTGGCAGTGCCCACCCTGCCAGGCATACCCTGTCACAGCAGACAAGCTGAGGCCCTGCCTCCAGAGCGGATCGGGCTGAGCTCTGGCTGGACCCAATGACTCTGGGGCACTATGACCCTTGATCCTTTGTAAAGCCCTTCATTGAAGTATTTCACTAAATGAACCAAGTCTGGTTCCCAGAAAAGCCCTTGGGGAACTTGATTTGTTTGGGGGTCACTCAAAGTGTGAGACTTCACAGTAAGGTCAGGACGTGCCCAGCAGCCCTTGGGGGATAAGTACCTGGAACCTCCGCATGTCCCGAGGGTTGCCTGCATTCTTCAAACAGTTCTGATTACACTTGAGGAAAAACTTTAGAAAGAATCTATAAAGATACAAAAAGGGGTATTTGTTAGGGTTATCAGGAAAAACACACACACTCTTCACAAGAAACTTGCTCGGGGGTGGGCGAGACTCCCCCGGGACTTCCTGCCGGCTGGACGCCCTGCAGGGAGGGATGCTGAGACCAGGCCCCAGCGGACGGAGCCCGTCGCCCCTGGTGGGACTGTCCTATTCTGAAAGTCCTCGGCCCAGGAAAGCTGTGACCGGCACTTGCCTAGACTGCTATTATTTTCAAGCTCCACCTGCACAGGTGCGACTTCTGGATCTGCTTGTCCAGCAGGTCAGGAACCACTGAGGAAACACCCACTCCAGGGAGGGCTCCCAGACCCGGCAACCGAGCGCCCGGGACGACCAGTTAAGTGTCACCTTCAAATTCGGCCGGATCAACCAATAACTCTTTCCATGGGGCCGTCCCAGCGCATACCGATGCGGAAAGTTACTCGGTGCTTGTCTGAAGTCCAACTTAACTGGACACTCTTGTCTTTTATCCAGCAACCCTAAGCCCAGATGGGCTGACTGCCTAAGTAAACCCACTTGTAGAGACCGATTGAAAAGTTACAACAGGTACCACGTTGAAGGAAAGGGAGACCTTCTGGGATGCTGTGTTAAGAGCTCCAGTGATTTCCATGAAATGTCCACGTGAGTTTTGAAGGGAATAATCAGAGCCATAGTGGTGTGACAGTTAAGCGCCCGGCTGCTAGCCAGAAGGTCAGCAGTTCCAACCCACCGAGAGGCTCCTTCTGAGACAGACCTGGCAGTCTGCTCCCACGAAGACTGCAGCCTGGAGACCCCACGGGATAGTTCTGCTCTGCGGCATGGGGTCGCTCCAGGTCACAGTCACCCCCTCAGCTCCCACAACAATCAGCACATCCTGGTGGTGAAACCCCCGCTGGACCCCAGCAGCCCCCACGACAGCGTGTCCTGGGGATGAAACCCCTGCTGGACCCAGGCAGAAAGGAGAAGGCTGACTCGCGAGCCACTGCTATTTCCCACCAAGCCTGGCCACTGTGTTTTGAGGCATGAAGCTGAGGGGTCCTGACAGTGTGTTGAGACACGGTGACAAAACCTCATCACATTGTCCTCCCCTCTCCTATATGCTCAGTGACAGAGAAAGAAGCCCTGCCTTACAACAGGGACACGCAGACCCAGGGCCACCGGACAGCAGCACTGACCAGGTGAAAATAGGGGGTCTCATCCCCATACACCCTCCGCCTACCCTCACGCTGACCTCAGGCATCAGAATGCACCACCCAGCAAGGTCACTAACCAAATCCTCCTCCATTTTTTTTTTTCAAAACACAGTCTGTCCTACTTGGCACCAATCCACTTTTTATGAAGAGTCACGTGATTTCCTCAAGTTCAAGGCTAGGTTTCAAGGTCCTCGGTGACAATTATCATCTCAGAAAATACAAAGGCCTCATGGACTAAGACTCATGCGTCTAGCTGGGTCAGACTCAACATACCCTGATGACTTCTTCCCACGGTGGAGGAAAATCCAATTGATGGGAGAGGAATCATGGACGTGTAATTAAATTTTCGTACATGTGGCAAGGCCTCGCAATTTTCGGCCGGAATTTACATCTTTTATGAACTCACCTCACCTACACACGTAGCTCACAGTGCTTCTTAAGGCCATCTGCCATCAGCATAGAGCAAGTCACTTCATATTCCGCCCACCAATTTTCCCTAAGAACCACTGTGCAATTAACCGCACGCGCCGCAGCGAGGTAAATTAGGCACACCTGCGTCCAGCCTGTGCCTGCACCGCCTCAGAAAGACCCTAACAAGGTGAGGACGCCACAAAGTTATCGTCCTGTCAGGCAATTAGGTTTTCGCTTCAGGGACGGCCACACGGCACAATTACGCCACACGCCACTGCCCGGCTAATCGGAGCGGGCGAGGCCCCGAAGCTGCCCTCGGCGAGGTACCGCCCAGGGTGGCCGCAGGGCCATGGTGGTGATGGGAGCGGCTTCTCCCTCCAGAGCAGGTGTCCTTAGACCCTTGAGGTCTTTCTAGCTGGTTCCCCTTTCACCTCCAACAGAGAGAGGGTGGGGCCATTTCCTAAAGGGGCGCTGCCTGGGGCATCTCCAGATGCCCTGCGTCTGGACTAGTGTCCCGTACAGAAATGAGCTGGGCAGTGCAAGGTGCTGGGCCCTGTGAGCATCCTGTGTGAGTGTACTCACCCACACACAGTCACACACACACCACACACCACCATCACACTCACACACACACATGCACATACACCACACTTGTAGAAATGAGCTGGGCAGTGTGGGGCGCTGGACGCATGAGCGTCTTGTGTGTGTACACTCACCTGCACTCACACACCACAGTCACACTCACACACACCCCATACCACCATCACACTCACACACACACCACACTTGTAGAAATGAGCTGGGCAGTGAGGGGCGCTGGACCCATGAGCGTCTTGTGTGTGTACACTCACCTGCACTCACACACACCACAGTCACACCACCCCACAGTCACACACCCCACACTCACACACTTCACACCACAGCCACACATACCATACTCACACCCACACTCCCCACATCCCACAACCACACTCACACACACATGCATATGCACCCCCATACATGACACACATGCTTACAACCACACACCCTCACCTACACACCCTACCACACATAGTCACACATGCTCCACCCACACACCACACACACACTCAGGCACATATGCATATACACCACACGTATGTCACAGTCACACACTACATGCACACACTCCCAATACATCGTACTCACATACACACACCACACACTCTCATGCACTCACACCCACCATACACTCACACAGATCACATCCGTTACACATGTCATCCACTCGCACACGCACCCTCACACTCATCCTCACACCCATGCACTCACACACCCCATACCACATACACCCTCATGCATGCTCACACACACACCACATATGTCATACACTCACCCATGCACACACTCACATCTCCATACCACACACATCCTCACTCATGCCTTCACATACATCACATGCTCTTGCACACATACCTTCATGCATTCACACACACACCCTACACCACACTCACACATATTACACTCTCACACACACACCAACACCCACACACCCTATACCACACTCACACACATTATGTACTCACACACACACCAACACATATACCCTACACCACACTCACACATATTACACTCACACACACACACATCATGAACTCTCACACAAAAACTGACACACACACCCTCTACACCACTCACACATATTACATTCTCACATACACACACACACACACCCTACACCACACTCACATATTACACTCACACATACATCATGTACTCTCACACACCCTACACCACTCACACATATTACACTCACACACACATCATGTACTCTCACACACAAACTGACACACAAACACACACACACCCTACACGACACTCACACTTATTACACTCTCACACTCACACATCATGTACTCTCACACACACACTCACACACACCCTACACCACACATATTACACGCTCACACACTGACACACACTGACACACACACACGTATTTTGCCCATTGATGACATTCTTGCCTCTGTCCTCAGTGTCTGAAGAACCCATGGGCACTTCTGCAGAACTGGCCCCGGGGAACACCTGGGGTCCTATACACAAAGTTGAGCACCGAGCTGCCCTCGCCTGGTCCTCGGGACGCTGTGGGGACGGGTGGTGGGGAGACAGCAGCAGCTTCCCGCGCCCTTCCTACCACATCTGGTTATGTTTCGTGCCAAGACTCAGTGGAAGTCACAGAAGGCAAGTGCCCCAGCACGGCCGGCAGGTGACCGTGGACATCACATAAAACCAGGTACAGGGCACAGGTGTGCTCTGACTCAAAGGTGCTCAGTGTGGGGCACCGTGCTGGTGTTTGGGGTGGCATGAGCAGACTGACCGCCTTCACGGGAAGTCAGACGGTAATCCTGCCCTGCCTCTGTCGCCCTTTAATTGGCTTGTTCCTAAGAAATACCTGACACCTACTTTACATGTCTCACACTTCCAGACTCCAGGACACAAAGGATTCAATACTCTTGTTATGAAAGGAAAAATCTTTCCTATGTCAGAAAATCTTTGGCTTTCGCACCAATAAACTCTTTATTACTGCTAAACATGGATTTGCTGCTCGACGGCAGAGAGGCGATAAAACTCCGAACCTGTCATTAGGACATGACGCTTAATTGTGCACAGTGAGCTTCCTGCGCATCTGCCGGCCGTCGTCACAATGACCATTATGGGCACTAATTCTCTGACCCTGTCTTTATTTCCCTAAAGAGTCGTCATCTTTCACAGTGGGTACCAGAGTAAATCAAGCTTGAAATATGGGCTTTATTTACTTGTTTCTCCCAGGCAGGAGGAGAAGACATCCACTGAAGACAAACGGCGGCCCTTGGTAGCAACGCCCCAGTAATATTCGGCTCGGAAGCAGCTTACGGAATTCCAGAAAGTTCTCCACAGCTCTTTGAAGGACGAAAGCGGGATCTCATTACTTGTAAAGTCAAGCCTCCTGATCAGGACGGAAAACCACCTTGGCTCCCACTGGCTCCCCTCTCCGCCATCAGGACCCAATGACGATTGAAGATGGATGAAGCAGCACCCTTGGGCCCCTTTCCTGGGAATGCAGTGTTGGGGAAGCCCCAGAGCCCCAGGTACCTTGAATTTAAGCCAGAAATTCTAAAGCCACCATCATTTATTTCCACAACTGCTTGAAACAGAATGGTGGCCCTAGCTGTGCCCAATGCAGAAAGTGACAAGTTGAGTCTTTCTGGAAGTCACATCAGAGTCCATGCAAACAATCCCAATCCTAAGGAGAGGGGCGGGCAGAGGCAGGATGATTTGCAACTGGGCTCGAAAAATAAAAATGATGGGACCGGCCACTGTATCCAGAACCCAACCGAGGCGGCCACTGTGTCCAGAACCCAACCGAGGCGCCACGGGACCA